TTAGAGTTATTATTTTACACAAATGGGATTTTTTTTCTGTATGAAGCTAAGTAATCATTGAATACAAACGGAACAAAATAACTGAGAGTTTTGTTGACAAGGCCACGTAAATTTATTATGACATCACAATGACCCCCTCCCCCTTCCCCAAATTTGATTGTTTTTCCCAAGACAGTATCTCAAAATTATTTTTTTATCAGAATCATACCCACCCCATCTACACACTTTGCAGTTACAACCAGAAGCAAAGCTGTTCACAGTGTTCTTATTAACTGTCCCCGTGTGGGATGCAGTTGTTTTGTCATTTGAAGCCCAGTTATAAAAATATAGCCTCACGGCTGAAAGGGGTTTCTGGGACCTTTCCGCGGGTGATCCTCATCCGCATGGTGCCACTTTGTGTCATGGGTGTTTGTCGCTTGTGTGATGTCCTAGTGGGGTACAATAAACAAGCAAGCAGTCCAAACACATCCACACTTGACGACAGTTTACTGCCTAAAGATTTGCTGGTGCCCCAATACAACTGTGCTAGATGTCTATACGGTTAAACAGGATTTCCAGGAATTGTAGCTGTTTGATTCTCATCCCTGAGGTGTTGCTCTTACAGAATGAAAATTTTGAGGGTTAAACCTTTTTTTTTTCAAGGTTGTTATATAAGCGAACTGGCCACTGCCCCAAAAAACAGCATGTCATCAGAAACATGTTACAAATTATATGTGAGCGTTTTAGGAGTACAGAGAAATTGTCATAATTATGTGTAACTAAACATTATCAATAGTTGTGCCGTTATGCATCATATACGGCTCGCAGTATAGTCCACCATTCTTTTCTTTCCTGTGCAGTCCTCTTGACATCATGAGCAGAATCCAGTCCAGCGCCCTTGGCCTCTCTCAACAGTGTCCATCTCAGGGTTTCTCCTGCATGTCGTTGTTTCCTCAGTCCATTTCAGTATCCCACTTCAGTGTTTGTTTTTAGATTCTCTGTGCAATGTGTACATGTGTAAACATATATTATGTTATTACAAACCACTCTCATATATAATGGTGCCATGAACATACATGTGTACAACATAATTTAACAAAATATGTCCAAATAAATTTAATTGTACAGTATTTTTGTAAATAAAGCTGGGATTTATTGATAATGATGTGAGTTTTGCTGTTCCGTCTGTTTTTAAAACTGATGTTACAAGTTATTACAAGTAGAAGCAAGCACTGGTTTTTTTTTTTTTTTCACATCATTTCCTTTCTGGCCCAGTTGTTTTCTTCTTTTTTTCTTCTTCTTCTTCTCCTCCTCCTCCTTCTCCTATATAAAAGACGCTTTTCCCCGCCCTCAGGCGTATTGGGCATATAGGGCTAGACCTTTATTTTATAGACCAACCTGCACTTGGTGGCTGATGTGGTTAGCATCATGCTAGCTGCCTTTACCTGCCAGGACTTTTACTAATACCAAGAAGCAAAGTCATTTTTAAAAAAAAATGAAGAAGAAGAAGAATAGGAAAAAGTCAACTACGTTAGGACCTGATCCCACAACCTTCCAGGTCTCAGATATAAAGTGTATTTGTATAGATCTATTGACACTTGATGGGCGGGACGTCAACATTATACCGACCGCCTCTACATCTCAGGTCAGTACCTCATGTAAAAAGGGTCTTCTTTTTTTGCAAATTGCTGATCATGCAACATGTTTGGTCCTGTTCTTTTTATGAATGATGCTGACCCACTGAATCCAGTTTTTAAAAAACAAAATGTCTGTTTTACCATTTCAACCATGGGGTCACTATTATGTCTTTTCGATTACAGTTTACGATTTATTGCCAGGCAATGAATTGTACAATCTATTGTTTGTGTCTTCTTTATTCAAGTTGACAATGGAAAACATTGCTTCGATACTAAACTTACTGCATAGGAAAAACATTAGTGTGGAAAAAAAATGAATGAATGCGGAGAAAGAGAGAATCTGACAACCCTAATGTGCACCCACTCATTTAAATCACATTTAAATGTGTTGGAAAATGAGCAGGCAGAAAGATTGGCTGGCTCTGCACTACTTGGTGGTGAATTGATGTATGATAAGTTAGATATTGTGAGGGCCCTTTGAGAGCAAGTGAACAGTGCAGAGGCGCAGATAGATCATTACGGTCTAAGGAGAATGGCGTTGCGAGGAGTTACCAGGGGATCTGGCCAACGCTCAACACTCAGGGGAAGGATGAGACGGATATACAATCAGACGGTCACTGGTACCATTGGAATTGGAACTCTTCACTTGCTGTTGAAGATGGGGACTAAGTACTTATGAGAGTGTACCGAATGCTGTGATGTTGATTCTCAATTCAACATTCAACATTTATTTAAATCAAAAATTGACCCTTCTTCCGGCTATTGAAAAGTAGTACCAGAATCATGCCATAAAAGAGAGGGCGGATAGCGCATAATATTCCCAGAGACAGTAATGATTACACTGCAGTCAGCCTCATTGTAGAAATAGCACTATATTTTTTTAAAAAATACACACACGTGTCAGAACTCCAATTGGCCAGATAGATACGTGATTCCTTTCAAGGATACTTCAGTTACAAGATTTTGTGTATTCTTGTTTGTATTTTTAATACTGTATTTATGTGAAAGTAAAGGACCCTTGTCCACGCCTTCATGCGTATTGGGCATATAGGGCTAGACCTATATTTTATAGACCAATCGGTGGGTGATGTGGTCAACATCACGTCGGCCGCCTTGACTTCCCATGACTTTACCGGGTACCTATTTGTAAGGCTGTGTCGACCTGGGAGCTAAGGTATATTCCTGTACTATACCAATGATGGCTATCTAGACACAAAGTTCACTTTCTTTTTGTGTTTGGGATATTGTGAAGTGACTGACTGGTTATGCTTTTAATCAGGTTTAGTACTTTTTTCATGATGTGTATTTTTTTTAAAAACAAAAACACCCAGTTGAAAACAACGGAGTGCACTAAACTTTCAGCCGGTAGATTGTTTATGTTGTACGGAATACAAAGGGAAATAAATCAAGAGGTTAATTCACAATAAATAACCTTGATAACAGGGGCGCCGAAACCTATGGACTTAGTTCGATTGATCGATCAGTTTGTCCCCTCTGAGATGCTACCTAAAGGTTGGCCATAGCATTCTGAAATCCCAGTCTGGGCGGCAGACCGACAAGGTAGATCCCAGCTCATCCTCCCAGATAAGTTATAATTAGGGCACCTGTACCATAACGACCACATCAGCCAGGTGCTTTCCCGTTGAATGCCAAATGTGGGATGTATATTTTTTGTTACTTTAAAGCCCCACTCCGACTGTCGTTGGAGGCCCTAATATAACCTAACGGTTTTACGGGGTTTCTGGTACCTGTGCCCGGGTGATTCTCGTCTGAATGGTGGCACTTTGAGTCGCCGAGTGTGTATCCTTGTGCGGTTACACACACCCACTGAATGCCACGACGACACAATAAATGCGTTGGCCAATGAGCGACTTCGTCGCCGTGGGGAAAGTGGCTGCAGTCATCGCATCAACTACTTTGTGGCGAGTTTCAAACCACGAATGTGTCGCAAATAATCTAGCCCACAATATACCAGCCCCTTGTTTGAGGTATCCTGTTTTACATCGCTAGTGGTAAACACATCTTGTGGCAAATACTGGTACCATTTTTAGGCACTTTGAGGGGCGTACCGGCACTTGTTTTTCTCAGAGGGGAAAAAAGCCCCGAGTTGTACTCTAACAAAATATAGCATTTGACAATTCTCGTTTTAATTCTCTCTCTCTCACACACACACACTCTCTCTCTCTCTCTCACCTGTCTCACACACAGTCTCTCTCTCACCTCTCTCACACCCCTCCCCCTTCCCGATGATAATAATAATTTGGACAGTATAAATCTAGATTTACAAATCTTAACCAACTAAAACATCTCCATAAACAAATGCACTACTGTGTGTAGCCTTACAACGGCCTGATATAACCGGTGTACAAAGTCGAAAGGGAATTATTTTTATTTTTTCTTTGTTCTTTAAAAAAAAAATTAACACAAATCTTTCTCCTCCAAGACTGTAGTGAGCAGGGTTAAAATCTCAAACCTGAGAATCAGAAGGTACGAGTAAATCGCCGAAACGCCGCTCACTCGTAAAGCACAGTTATATCCGGAGCAACACAAAAATGTCACAAAATAACATGCAGCTCAGTGGGGGTGTATCAGACTGACTGACTTTCTACCCCACCGGAACATCACACAAGCGATAAACGCCCAATGACACAAAGTGCCACCATGTGTATGAGGATCACCCGTGGAGAGGTCCCAGAAACCGCGTTCAGCCATTAGGCTATTTATGGCCTGGCAAGAGCCAGAGTAGGGCTTCAAACAAGGAAAAATTGTATCTCACAAGGGGATGACAGAAATAATAATCGTGTGGGTGTGTGTCGGTATTGAAAGGGACATATGCAGGTCTTTATTCTTTTTTTTTTTTGGTGACACAGTTTTTAGATATTTTTTGTTCAGCTTTTATGTAATAGAAAATTGAGGTTGAGTACCGGCACCTTCTTTTTTCTTAGAAAAAACAAGCGAGGGGATATATAAAATGTTGGTCCTTACAGACTAACATCTGAGATGTGGCTGTGTGAATCACTGTTGTGTGGAAACACCAGGCAATGTGCTGTGTGTCGGGATTTCAAAACAAAATTCAAAGAAAGGAAGGGGGAAATGATTGACTGACTTTTTACCCCATCAGGACATCACACAAGCGATAAACACCCGATGACACAAAGTGCCACCACGCAGATGAGGATCCCTCGTGAAGAGGTTCCAGAAACCTCTTTCATCCGTTAGGACATATTTGTGGCCCTGCTGTATTCAGAGCCCCGGCAAAAGCCAGGGTGGGGCTTCGAATAATCCCACACGGGGATGACTGTTTTAAATAATGATAGGATGGGGCAAATAACTTTTTTCGGACTAAGTAACCAGCAACGGCATCGCGTATTATCTTCGTGAAATTTAAAATTCGCTGAAACAACTAGCGAACAGTAATTTGCAGTTGACACTAGGGACGATGAAGATATTGTCTCCCTTCTTCACCATGTCCCAGCTTGGAGTGCCTAGGGCCTCGGCCATCTTCTGTAGGAAAAACCCTTCAGGCTTGTCTGAGACGGACAGTCGAACATTTTCTTTGTAAACTCGAACTGTGGACAAGTGCCTGGAATGAACGACTAGGCAAAATAACGCTGATGATGGCAGAGACAGGCAAGAAAGAAACGATTTTAGATAAAGACATTTCCGTCCCAAATATTTGAAACTTTCATTGATTCGTCCTAAATCGGCAAAATGCATCAGAAACTCCCAGTAGTTGCTGCAGAAGGCTAAATTCAGTATCGTTTGGCCGTATAAATTGGCGATATGATGAAGAAGCGACGCAGAAATATTGCTGGAAAGATTATCAAATATAAGGGACTTCAGAAACGGATTTGGGATCATATCTTCGTTGCAGACTGTTCGGTTTTTAAAAATGTAATGGACGTTGAATTTGTATTTCATAACCATTGACAGTTCACAGTTGACTTTATTCCAGTCCATCATGATTTTCTCAGAGAAACATGTCTGCTGTGTGTGGTCATCGTTGACTACGTATAGTTCTGATAAATTCTTCTTGACCAAGCAAATAATTAGATTTGAGTTCACTGTTTGAATTGGGCATTTAAGTATTCTTAAATTCACACACTGCACTAAAAAGGGTGCGATTTTATTGCTGCCAAAGTCAATGATTAGGCCATGGGAAAAATCTAAACATGAGAGGTGACAAAGAAGTCCTTTCTCTTGGATGTATGTTAAATAACTGAAAATGCCCGTCTCTACACTCTCGATAGAGGCATAGAACAGGCTCTTCAGGGATAACCGGAAACCTGAGCCTCGTTTGAGAACAAGTTCCTGCAAAGACCAAATGTAAGATTGTGCGCATGTCTTGAGCATCGGCACTGAGATGTCAGAAGTATGCATGATCGACAGCGCCTTCAGACCATGGCAGTGTTTTGAGACAGCACCAAGCAGCCGAAAATCGTTACCTCTTTCTTTATCAAAAGTCGTTACTTTGTGAATCCATAGTGTGCAGGTCTGAAAGAACCTGCCGTATTTCTTAATAACACTAAGTTCGTGTTCCATTAAGAATGGAAAACAAATGTACATATACAGTTTCTCCGTAGCGTAGCTTCGATCATTCTCGAAGTTCTCCCAGGCCAATGGTGAATTCATTAGACGCTCCAAGCTAGGAATCGCCAGCAGTAACCATTCTTTTTCCTTCCAGTGCAGATATGAGATTATCTTACCCAGGACAACATCAGGCAAATTCTCAATGCCAAATCTAGAAGTTTCTCTCTGTTTTTCTGCCACTTCTGTTTGCTTAATTTGCACTTTTTTTAAGTCGGACAAAATCAGTTCACTCAGTGCTACTTCAGACATCGGCTCCAAAAAGAACGGTGAAGTTTGTCCATAATTATTTGCAGACAAGTCCTTCTTTTGCTTTCGCTTCACCAATAAGTGCATCTTTTTGAAGCAGTTGAGCATTTTAACAAATCAAATAGAATTCGTAGAATTAAAATGCCAGTTAGCTTCCTCTTGTACTTCAAATCTTGGCGCACTTCCACAAAATGTACGACTAAAGCGTTGCCCCTGTCAAAAAACAAAGATCGGCGAGCCTTTATTCGTGACAATGTTTAAATTATTTTCCCGCCATTACAGAGGATTTCAAGTCTCAGTTACTCTTATATATTACAGAACATGTTCCCACATTCACGTCCTTTTGTATTGCATGTTTTTTAAGCCTCAATTTCACCTCTGTTTATTATCACTACATTATTTTTCTCCTTGGAGAATACGACACATATTCTCACAGTTACAATCACTACAACATCGTCAGCCATATCACAATTGTTTGCGGAAAGTTTCTGCAACGTGCGCTCTCCATCTTTGAACAAAATGTTGGTGATAACTACACGGGACTTGATGTTTCCTGTGTAACTGTAAGTGTGCGTGCAGTTTTTATTTCAAAATTTCCTACAGCAAGGCCTCCATCTTTTGTTACCATGGAAAGCAATTATATAAAAAGAACTCTTCTTAAAATCGACAAAATAATATCAATATATCATCATCATTGTCTTGTGCCGTTAAATGTCGCATATGGCCCGCAGTTTATTTCTCCATTCGTTTGTCCTGTGCAATCAGTTCAATACCATGTATGGAATCCAATCCAGCAGCTTTGGCCTCTCTCATCAACTTTTGTTTTAGGGTTTCTTTTCTTCCTTTTCTTTCTCGCTTCCTCAATCCATTTATTTCCCATTTTAGTGCCTATCTGATGATTCTCTGTTCGTTTCTTCTCAGGATGTGTCAGTAACATCCATCCATCACGAAGCAGGTCCCTTGCAGAACGTCGCTCTCATCACAGTCTGCCTGAAAGAAACCCGGTCTCTCGCCTGTTCTCTCTTCCGCCTCATGAACTTTCACACTCAAGGAGTCACTTATATCCTGTGCCCATCTTCGTGTTGGTCGTCCCCTGCTCCTCTTTCCTGGTACCATGCCTTCTGCTTTTTTCCAATCCGTCGTGGCGCTTGATATGACCAAAATATTTCAGCTTCCGAAACAGGATGCTGTTTATTAGCCAATCTTCCTTGATGTTCAGATCTTTTAAGATGTCAATATTTCTCCTCTTCTTTGTCCAAGATATTCTGAGAATCTTTCTAAAGCATTTCAGCTCAAAAGCCCCTATTCTCTTTTTCAAAGGACTGAGAGATAGTCCAAGGCTCACATCCGTATGTAGCCACAGGGAAGATGCATGCTCTCAAAATTCTAATTTTGATCTCCTTGCTAGTGCTTAACCATAGACTTTTAAGGCTGTTCAATCTTTGCATTGCTATGGCCATCCTCCTTTTGATTTCTGTCAAACAGTCTCCATTGCTGTTTATTATAGAGCCTAGATACTCAAAGTTTGTGACATTTTCAATTTCTTCATCATTCTTCATCAGTAAAATACACGCACATATACATATTATTAGACACACCCTGAGAAAAAAACTAGGGTTCTTTTCTGTTTAGCAACCACATCACGCGGGATTTAGGGACATCCCATATTATAGAGGGATTATGGTTAGTAGTAGTCGCCATTCATTTAACACTAAGCCTAACCCCCCCCCCCCCCCAATAATATGGGATGTCGCTAAATCATGCGTGATGTAATCACTAAACAGAAAAGAACCTCAAAACGAGGATCAGAGAATCACCAAAGCCTGCACTACATTTCAATGTTTCCACCACGGCCATCTTTAGCTATAAATTGGCGGTGGTTTCCACCATGTCGCTCTAGTTAATCTTTTTATACTAGAGAGCGTTTGGACATCTTATATGCTGTCTTACTTATGCCTTATGAACAGCTAGTCATATATTTAATCCAAACGTTTCTCCGTGAAAACATAAGCCTTTAGGCTGAAATGCTATTAAAAAAAAATAATCTCACAGAATACCACAGAACAAGAAGACAAGAAATACTGACATCTTAGCATATCCAAACATCAAGGAAGAGTGACAAATAATGACGCGATGCCTGTCGTGCAGTGTTGTGGTGCCCGTATGCGATTAAAATTGATCGCGTGGGCAACTGCTGATCTGTTGGCGACTTCTGCTACCATCAATGATGAACTGCAATTCTATTACTGTGATAAACATTCTGTGTGTTTTTCGTTGGCACAGGAGCGGAGCAAAGATGGGGTGACCCGTTTGCTATGAAGCTGAAACTAAGACTACCAGACAAATAAATGAATGACGGAATCAAGAATTGACATTACTTCACTCGGATCATACCACAAGTGCTCCGTCTTACTTCAGTAACCAACGAAAAGTCGCCATGCTACTAATGCAAGTTGCAACCTGATTAAAAGACCGTCTCTATTTCCTCTTCAGTGTTGAAAATCTTCAAGATCATATCAAGGAAGATTGGCTACCAAACAGCATTTTGTCACTGAAACTGAAATATTTTGGTCATCTTTATACCGCTCTATCCTGTGCAATACTTTCGATATCACGGATGGAATTCGGCCCAGCACCTTTGGTCTCTCTCATTAACGTTCATTTTAAGGTTTCTCTTAGCGTCAATCGCAGTATTTCCAGTGTCATTGCCTGTTTGTCGATTCTCTGCTTGTTTCTTCTCAGGGTGTAAAAGAATGAAAGAGATTACTGGCTTGTTGGTAGTTACAGGGCAAGCAATGAGCCAAGCCGATGCTGTCAATGCTCTCAAGAAAGCAGGGCGGGTAAATGATTCGAGATACAACGGTGAATCGGCGACATTAAAAATACGCTCTACTTACTACTACAAGAATTTCAGATCAAAAGAGATTGCCAAAGATGAACCCCATACAGATAGCCAAAGAAGATTAGTAAATCAACACAATTGGTGTTATCAGTCACCACGCGTTGAGGCATATGCTGAACATTGGATCCGAGCGCTTATGGGCTTGTCCGACGTGCAGTGAGGATAAACTGTCGATGAACTAACTGGAATATTAGACTGCAGCCATGGGTACAAGAAATTCAAGACTAGGGATTCAGAACTTTGCTCATATGAACAGGCACCATAGAATACTGAATATATGCTAGGAAAGATATAAAACCGAACGAAAAGTAGACCAGCGAGCTTCGCAATATAACAAACACAAATGTTGCGGCTATAGAACCTTCATCGGCACAAACATAAATGAAACAAAACCACACGAATATACAAAATCATGTAGCAGTCACGTTGATGTCTTACCAGTGGAATGATTGGTGCCGAACATGTTACAGACATTCTGTCTACTTGCAGTAGAGAGATCCGTGGTTTGGTGAACTGACTTACAATGAAACCCCAGCTGTATGGAACAGTGGAAGTCATGCGTCCCACCACAAAGGCGTGTGGCCTTCTGATCTGAAAACTACTGACAGAGAGATCGAGAAAAAGACTATTGTATAACAGTATCTCTAAAATGTTGCTCTTGTATTATCGGAGCTTTGACTTCAGTCCTTTTGGCTTCTTTATAGTTAGCTAGTTAGTTAGTCGACAGATTATCCTCACTGCATGTCGTACCACTCAGTCCATAAGTGCTCACATCCCCTCCTCAGTAAATCCTGCAGCGTGTAGCGGCTAACAACACCAGTTCTGTGTTGATTTATTCTTCTTCTTTGACTACCCGCATAGTATTCTTGTTTGGCGACACCCAGTTTAACATGGTGTTCTTGCAGTCTGACCACGGTTGCAGATTCTTTATATTGTTGAGCAATACTCCACCACTTGCATGATGCGTCTCCAATTTCCATTGTAACTACTTTCCACTCGCACTTGTTTGTGGTAAGTCTTGTCACACATGAAGCATTCATCAGCGATTCCCCATTACTGGGTGCCTGTTTGCTAAAAGTAGACTGTCATACTGCACCATTCGACACGATTAGCAAATCAGGTCAGTTTTTATGTCTTGCCCCATTTATATGGTTAAACTATCCAAGTATTTATCTTTTTGCCTTCCCCTCTAGCCATTAATCTTGCCAGTTATTATCAAGTTTGGGAGTCCATTCCTTCTGAAAAACATCAACAATCTACATCTGTTTTCTTGAATCCGTTACAACTTTCACCGGCAGATTGCCTGTTTGTCCATCAGTCTGCACTATTATTACAACTTTCACCGGCAGATTGCCTGTTTGTCCATCAGTCTGCACTATTATTCATTAATAATTCTATGTGTGTAGCCAATACATCGTGCCCAAATACTTCTATTAACGACAAACAACATTTCTGGTGGCGACTGTTGACTTTGGTGCCTCTAGCAACTAATATTTGCATTTACTGCCTCAGCATATTTCTAAATAGTGGCAGGACTAAATGTTTGTTCACAATTTTTCAAATGCGACAGTGAGGGACATTTCATTTGATTTTCACTAGCACAGGAGTGAAGCAAGTATGGGAAAACCTGATTGCTGTGAAGTTGAAACCTTAATTAAGACCACATCTCTGCTGCGAACAAATGTTTTCCAGCCTGTGTGCTTATCGTGCAGGAGTCCCAGAGGTATCTTCTGCTTCCCTTCAGTAGCCCACGGGACACTCATCAGCGACCAAGTCGCCCTTTGGCTCGCCGGTAGACAACTTGGTCGCTGGATGGGAAAACATTTGAATCTGTCTTCTGTGATCACTGCAACAAGTCTTTTCAGAGCTACTTGGTGGCGAGCATTGCTAAACAATTTTATATGGTGCACATAACCTAGTCACAATTATAACCTAAATCTCTCCCTTCGGGGATGCTGCTCAAACGTGACAATTTTTCTCTCTGGCAAAGCAAGCCAAGCCACAGGACACTCTTGGACAAGGTGGAGTACCTGTTCGGCCCCCTCATCAGCTAACATGAAACCATGGGAGCAGATGCTTGATAGTTTGAGATGAAACAGTTGTTGGTCATGGTGTCTAGTTCCCCAACAGTAGACAGAGGATCACACTGTAGTGGCAATGGCTAAGTTCCCCAACAGTAGACAGAGGATCACACTGTAGTGGCAAT